CTTCTACTTCTACTACTACTTCTTCTACTACTACTACTACTACTACCACCGCTACTGCTACTGCTACTACTACTACTACTACTACTACTACTACCGACGACGACGGCTACTACCACCGCTGCTACTACTGCTACTGCTACTGCTACTGCTACTGGGATTGCGACTGCCACTGCCACTGCCACTGCTACTGTACTGCTACTACTGCTACTACTACTACGACGACTACTACTACTACTCCCCCTCCTGTTTCTACTGCGACGACGACGACTGCTACCACCACTGCTGTTACTACCGCAGCAACAACAGCAGGCAGCAGCAACAACAACAGCAAGTGCAACAGCAACGACGACAGTAACAAGAACACTGGGAGAGGAGGCGGCGGAGGTAAAGCAGGAAGCAGCAGCGGCAACAGCAATAGTCGTCGTCATCGGTCTCCGTCGCAGTAACAAGCGAACGATACGCAAATGCTCGCTATTGTAGCAAGTATTAGGAAGCTGTAGGATTCTAGATACTCAGAATAGTAGTCAGTGCGGGCAAGGACGGAGTGGCCATTTCGTAAGACCAGAGAGCAGGCAGCTGTTGAACAGAAGGCAGTTCCACCATTCTGCGGCAACTACAAAATCGCAACCACGACGAAGCACACAAGACAAATGCTACGAGTAAAGTACTGAATTCAGCCACCGGCTCGTGCAACAGCTATCCTCCGGAAACCGCGACTCAGGCCCGTACCGAGCCCATTGTTCACTGACGGCACCTGCAGGCAAGACCTGGAGGCTCCGTTAAGTCAGATGAACACGGTCAAAATAGCTATCATGAGGCTTTGGATGTTCGGGTGAAGGGCCTATGTTTGCTATGCTGACTACCCTGTGCCGAAAGCACTTCAGCAGCGGCAACGACTTGGTAGAACAGTTCGGAAAGTGTAAGTTTTCGTTGCCCCAAACCCTCTGACAAAACACAGCCAAAGGCCCTGCAAAAGCCTACAACCGCAAACAAACTGAGACGCCGGCTTCCAGCATTGCCAGCCTCGTGAGACCAGGCCCTCTTGAAACTAGATGAGCAGCAAGCCCCCAAGTCTCGAAACCGCAAACCCTGCAACCCGACCGCCATGATACTCCAAAATAGCTCCAAAATCCCCCCTCAAGTTCTGCCACTCGGCGGGGTGGCTGCAGCTCCCCGTAGACGCACTGCAAGGAAGGCACCCTCGGAAGCTTCCAGCGTGGCTGGGGCACTTCAGGGCGTCGCGTTGGGAGTTTAAGGGTTTAGGGTTTAGGGTTTAGGGTTTAGGGAGTTTAAAGGTCCAGGGCTCGTACTGTAAGGCACTGCAGGGCTTATCCTCAAGAGATCTTTTGGCCCCCCAGGACCCCTAAACCACCTACAGCCTATAACCCTGAAGCGGATTGGCGGGCTTTTGGGATTGAAAGCTTGGCATTTCGGGGTTCGCGAGTATGGCAGGCAGCCTGCTCGGCGTCATCCCCAGACCGACGACTCCCTCAAAAGGAACCCTTAAGAGCCTTAGCGGAGCCCTGAAAGGAGATCTGATGTTACAGTTTGGGCAAGTCAAGAGACCACAAAGTCCTGCTAGGGACCCACACAGTCTATAGCGTCCCTGTTCGTAAAGACCACCCCCGAACGAAA